TATATATATATATATATATATATATATATATATATATATATATATATATATATATATATATATATTAATTTCTTCCAATGAATTTTCGTTGTCATACAAAGAATTGAGCTAGGTTTTTCTTTTTTTTTTTAAGTTTTGATGTATTATAGTTTTTTACTTACGGTAACGTATTCTACATAAATATCACTAAAACAATTTCGATGGCGCTGCCCTGAACTCCTGAAAGATTGATTAGCCTAATTATACTTTAGGGTATTCCTAGCCCGGGAATTTATTGTACTACTAATTAATTATAAGTTGAATATATGGAGCCCTGTTACTTGATATTCCAGGTAAGTTGCAGGAGACAAAAATTATTTTAAATTAAAATAAAACATAGAGATGATCTTGAATTAAATCAAACCAATTTTTTTTTTTTTTGATAATGGAGATAAGAGACTAGACCAATGCAAGTATTCCTTGAGGCTCGGGTCGCTTGGGTTTGGAGCATCGGCATCAACTAGAATCTGAAAAATGTTACAAACGAAAAACGCCAACAAATATAAGTAATTAGTTTAGATGATATAGCTTAATTCAAATAAAATTAAAAAAATAATAACCGTACTTCATGAAAAAGCTTAAGCTGGTAGTGAGATCAGTCGTTTAATATTTATATCTTCAGTAAGTACCAACTTTGCAGATTGAACTATATGTATAGATATGTATGTATTGTGTGTGATCATGTGTCGACCTACGTACAGTGTATTTCACGAGAGGGAAAGAGAAGTATGTATATACTTACAAGAGTGTACATGGATCGAAAATCATCACCCCCGATCTCAACAGTAGGGCGGTTGGCTATTTGAGTGGGTTTCAAGCGACACCCGTTCAAAATGTACTTGCCGTTACTCGTCACTCGAAATTCGATTGTCGGCGTAAACGGGTCCAAAACATCGCTCACGACCCCACTAACCACAAGCGGATTTCTTTCCCTTGATGATGTCATATCTATGTATATATATATTTATGAGAAAACAAAAAGGCTACTAAATTTGGTGATTAATTAATTATGAGAAGTACAAATATATATCATATATAAATATATATATACTTGATGCGTGCATGTATAATTTTTTCTGTATATGGAGGGTCGAATTCTACTACTATTTATACTAGATTTGTTCAAAGGTTGAATTCATGGTACATGTATATATATATGCAGAGACCTTTATGTTGACATCATAGAATCGTGCAATAAACCTTTTCTTGACTATTTTTCTTCTTTTTTTTTTTTTTAAAAACAATTATTTATTTGTGTGGACCTACGTATATATGATCGATATTCTTATTCTCGTGAAAATTGAAAGAAATGTAGCCAAAGAATCATTCATGCTCACCATTCATTATATCACGTGTTCCTACGAAAGTGCCGTGTCATTTGACTCAGTTTGAATTATTCTGACATCACTTTTAACTGTCAATTATTCTCGCTTCGTTTGGCAAGCTTA